GTTACCATGGTAGCCAAGCCACACAAAGACACAACTAAGAAAGGGAGCTACAGACCAATATCCCTCATGAACATAGATGCAAAAATACTCAATAAAATACTGGCAAACCAAATCCAAGAACATATCAAAAAATCATCCACCATGATCAAGTAGGATTCATCCCTGGGATGCAGGGTTGGTTCAACATTTGAAAATCTATCAGTGTAATCCACCATATAAACCAACTGAAGTAGAAAAAGCACATGATCATCTCGCTAGATGCTGAAAAAGCCTTTGACAAAATCCAACATCCCTCATGATAAAGGTCCTGGAGAGATCAGGGATAACAGGAACATACCTGAACATAATAAAAACAATATGCAGTAGGCCAACAGCCAACATCAAACTAAATGGAGAGAAACTCAAAGCTATTCTTCTAAAAACAGGAATAAGACAAGGCTGTCCACTCTCTCCATTCCTCTTCAATATTGTCCTTGAAGTTCTAGCAAGAGCAATAAGACAACTAAAGGAGATCAAGGGGATACAACTTGGAAAGAACAAGTCAAGCTTTCACTGTTTGCAGATGATATGACAGTCTACATAAGTGAACTGAAAAACTCTACCAGGGAACTCCTACACTGATAAACATCTTCAGCAAAGTGGCAGGATACAAGATTAACTAAAAAAATCCGTAGCCCTACTATATATAGAATGTAAGTGTACTGAAAAAGAAATCAGAGAAACATTACCCTTCTCAATATCCACAAACATCATAAAAACTTTGGGGTAATGTTAACCAAAAAAGTGAAAGACCTGTATCATAAGAATATTGAGTCTTTAAAGAAAGAAATTAAAGAAGATACCAGAAATTGGAGGGATCTCCCATGTTCTTGGATAGGTAGGATCAACATGGTAAAAATGGCAATCTTGCCAAAAGCAATCTACAGATTCAATGCAATCCCCATCAAAATTCCAGCACAATTCTTCACAGACCTTGAAGGAACAATTCTCAACTTTATATGGAGAAACAAAAGACCCAGGATAGCCAAAACCACTCTGTACAATAACAGGAATTCTGGAGGCGTCACCATCCCTGATTTCAAGCTCTATTATAGAGCTATAGTCCTAAAAATAGACTGGTATTGGAACAAAAATAGACAGGTAAACCAATGGAATCGAGTTGGAAATCCTGATATTAACCCGCACACCTATGAGCAACTGATTTTTGACAAAGAAGCTAAAGCTATATAATGGAATAAAGAAAGCATCTTCAACAAATTGTGCTGGTATAACTGGATGCTGGCATGTAGAAGACTGCAGATAGATCCATGTCTATCGCCATGCACAAAACTTAAGTCCAAATGGATCAAAGGCCTCAACATAAACCTAGCCACACTGAACTTATTAGAAGAGAAAGTAGGAAATACCCTTAAATGAATTGGGACAGGAGACCACTCCAGAACATTACACCAGTAGCACACACACTGAGATCGACAATTAATAAATGGGACCTCCTGAAACTAAGAAGCTTCTGTAAGGCAAAGGACACAGTCAACAAGACAACATGACAACCCATGGATTGGGAAAAGATATTCGCCAACTCCACATCTGACAGAGGGCTGATCTCCAAAATTTACAAAGAACTCAAGAAGCTAGTTTCCAAAACAACAAATAAATTAAAACATCCAATTAAAAAGTGGGGTACAGAACTAAATAGACAATTCTCAGTAGAGGAATCTAAAATGGCTGAATGACACATAAGAAAGTGTTCAACATACTTAGCCATCAGGGAAATGCAAATCAAAACAACTCTGAGAGACCATCTTATTCCTGTCAGCATGGCCAAAATCAAAAACACCGATGACAGTTTATGCTGGAGAGGATGTGGAGAAAGGGGAACACTCCTCCACTGCTGGTGGGAGTGCCAACTTGTACAGCCACTTTGGAAATCTGTATGGCAATTTCTTGGGAAAATGGGCATCAGTTTACGACAAGATCCAGCAATTCAATTCTTAGGCATATACCCAAAAGGAGCACATTCATACAATAAGGACATCTGTTCAATGATGTTCATCGAAGCATTATTTTAATAGTCAGAACCTGGAAACAACCTAGATGCCCCTCAACTGAAGAATGGATACAGAAAATGTGGTACATTTACACAATTGAGTACTACTCAACAGAAAAAAAACCAAACAATGGAATCTTGAAATTCACAGGCAAATGGAAAGTAGAAGAAACCATTCTGAGCAAGGTAACCCAGTCACAAAACAACATACATGGTATGTACTCACTCATATGTGGATTTTAGACATGGAGTAAAGGATTAGCAGCCTACAATTCACACTGCCCAGAAGCTAGTAAACAAGGAGGACCTAAGAGAGACATACATGGCCCCCTGGAGAAGCAGAAAGGGACAAGATCTCCTGAGCAAATTGGGAGCACGGGATGGGGGTTATAGGGGAGAAGGAACTAGGAGAATGAGAGGTGAAGAAGAGGGGAGAAGAGGAGGGGTGAGGAAGACATGATGGGGCTGGGATTTTGAGTTGAGGGAAGAATAGAAGAGAGCAAGATAAGAGATAATATAATAGAGGGATACATTATAGTTTTAAAGAGAAATCAGGCACTAGGGAAATGTCTGGAGAGCTACAAAGACGACATCAACTAACAATCTAAGCAACAGAGGAGAGGCTACTTTAAATGCCCTCCCCTGATAATGAGATTGATGACTGATTCATATGACATTGTATAGCCTTCATCCGGCAGCTGGTGGAAGTAGAAGCAGACACCCACAGCTAAACCTTGAACTGAACTGGAATCCAGGTGCAGAGAAAGAGAACTGATGAACAAAGGGATCCACACCAGGCTGGTGAAACCCACAGAAACAGCTGACCTGAACAAGGGAGAGCTCTTGGTCCCCAGACTGATACCTGGGAAACTAGCATGAGACTAATCCAGACTCCTTGAATGTGGGTGTCAGTGAGAAGACCTTGGAAATCTGTGGGACCTCTTGTAGTGGATCAGTATTTATCCCTAGCATAGGAATGGACTTTGGGAGCCCATCCCACATGGAGGGATACTCCCTGAGCCTAGACATAGGGGGTTGACCTAGGCCCTATCCCAAAGAATACAACAGACATTGAAGACCCTTTATAGAAGGCCTCACCCTCCCTTGGGAGCAGAAAGTGTATGGGGTAGGTAGGCTGTTAGTTGGGGGGGGCAGGGGAGGAGGGGAAGGAAAGGGACCTGGGATTGACACACAGAAAAGTTTTCTTTCTAATAAAAAGAACAAAAAAACAAAGTAAGAACAATGATAGGGCAGAAAAAACAAACTCGGAGATCACCATTCTTATTCTCAGTATAACAAAAGAAAAGCAAAGGACACTTACAAAGCTAGCTTTGTAAAAACAGAGGAGAGGACATACTTGGTCATTCTACCTTAGTAAGGGAAATGCCATCATAGGGCTTGATCTTATCTAAGAGATGATTAGATTCTGTTCAATCAGCTAGCACTTATATCAATACCTTCACAATCAGGACAGTTTGGTAAGTTTATGTTCACACACACATTCTAATTCCTTCAAAGAAAGTTTGCCAGAAAGTCAGTGGAATAACATATGAATCATGATGCAATGTTATTCTAAAACTTGAAAAAGTGTCAAGAGCTGGGGAGATAGTTCAGTGTATAGCAGAACTTATTTTGAAAACATGAGGACATGAGTTCAAATCTCTAGCACCACATGAGAATCAAGTATATCTACTTGGATGGAGACAGGTGGATTACTGGAGCTGGGTGTCCACCTATCCTAGACAAAAGGATAAGATGCCAGTAGAGTGACAGACCTTCTTCAAGGCCATAAATCAGAGTCATAGAGAAGAAAACATGTTTTTGCATCTGTATGTTCATGCAACATATCTTCCACATACATATACATCCACAGTATACACATGAGCACACACACACACACACACACACACACACACACACACAACTCACTAGGGATTTAACAAATTATTTTTTTAATTGACAACAAATTTGATTTGAAAATATGCCTATACTTCAAAGCATGTTTAAATCACCTGAATATCACCTTTCTTAGACAGTCCTGGGGATCTTATATCTAACTTTAGCTGTTAAAACAATGTGAATAAAGACTCATATCCCTTGCTCCTTAGGCTGAGGAGAGAGTCCACCCCCAGGAACTCCCTGGTGAAAACAGAGGAAGAGCCCTCACAAGTTGTTCTCTGACCTCCACATATACCAAGGTAGATGTGTCCACACTGACACAATAAAGACATATAAAGGTAAGAAAAGAATTAAATAAGTAATATAAGGGGGAGAGAGATGACTGAGTGGTTGAAAGCATTGGATGCTCTTTCAGAGAATCATAGTGGAATTCCAAGCACACACCTGGATGCTCACAGCTGATATCCTCTGCTAGCTCCTACAGGCACCGCACACACATGATGCACAGACATAAGTGCAGAGAAAGTACCCATATACATAAAGATACATAATATGTTTGATGTCCTCCCAGTCTCCCATTCTAGCAAATAGTGCCACTCTTCCACCACAATTTCTCCCTTTATACTTCTTCACTTTAAAAATAAAATCTCTTTAAAAATGAAATGAAATTATATGCCTATTTACTTTTTACTCATTGTCCATCTTCCTCAGAAGAACATAAGCTCCATTTGACAAGAGTGTTGTCATTTTTAAAATGTTTGTGTCCAAAACAGCATTCAACAGATATTTATGGAATAAATAAGCCATGAATAAATTAACCTGTTGGAGTTAAAAAAACAGTAAGATCTATAAGAATAAACTCAAGTGTCCTTTCCAATCACCAAATATTACTATTCTGAAGCTGTTTCCAAAACCAATCTTCACTACTTCTAAAATCTTGGCATTTTAAGAATGCTGAAGTAAGATAGTTCTTTTAAATGATGAAAGTAGAGACAGTATAACTTGGCTTGTGATACCTACCCATCCCTGCATAAGGGCAAAACTTCATTTAGATGAAATGTTCCTGGCTAATTTCAACAAGTATTTTGCATTTCTTTCTGTATATTCGCTAATTGGTCAAGTACTCCGCAATTGATTCAATGCTCTTTTCTGATATATGCCCCTATAATGGCATCTCTACCATTGGGAGTGGGAGCCAAGGGAAGAAACACAAAGGGGACAAACGAGAAACAGTGATTAAATATATTATGTAAGATACCCTCAGTCTTAGCCCTTGTTCCTATGCCATAGTTAATTTTTTCAACTTCCCAAACACCTAGACAGACCTGAGAGGAAGCCATCTCAATTGAGGAATTATCTCCGTGTGATTGAACTGTGTTCATGTCTATGGGTATTTTCTTGATTATTGATTCTTGTGGGAGGGGCCATCCCACTGAAGGTAACACCATCCCTGGCAGGAGATTGTAGGATGTATAAATAAAGGCAGCTGAACAGGCCAGAGAGAGCAAGTCTGTGAACAGAACCCTCTGGTCAATGCTTCCTTTTGTGCCTCCAGGTTCCTGAGTTGTCTTCCTCCTATAATAGATGGTTGCTTGTAAGCTAATAAACTCTTCCTCCCCAAGGGAAGTAACTTTATCACAGCAACAGAAAGCCAACTAGGATACTCCTATTTCAACTTAGTGAGCTCTTAGAAAACGATACTAACCATGTACCAAAGACATTGATGGGGCTTTGTCCTTAACATTTTTATGTTATTTATCTACTTCTGTGGTGGCATTAATGATGGTTTCAGAGGAAATTCTAGTCCACAGAGAAAGTCTAAATCAACCATTTGAAGATTAAATTACTGAAGGAAATCCAAATTATAAATATATGGCTATTCAACATCCAAACACTCGGTTATGCCTTCGTATATAAACAGTAATTGGAAAAAAAGGAGGTGAACACATTTTAAGTGTATTTTTTATTTAACACTGATAAAATAGTAGCCATATGACCAAAAATGTTCTAATAATCTAATATAGTCTATTTATCTCCTTACCTAGTGTTAATAAGATTTCAAAATATATGCCATCATAAAGCAATAATGTTTTATAAAAATATAGATTTTATTTATTTTATTTGGTGTTTATGAGTATTTTGCTTGCCTGAATGTGTGTGTACAATTTGGGTCCTTGGTGCCCAGGAAGATTAGAAGATGGCATTGGATCCATGGAAACTGAGTCATGGAAGGTTGGGATCCACCAGGTGGGTGCAGTGAACTACAGCCAGGTCCTCTGCAGGAGCAGCCGTTGTTCCTCATCTTTGTTCTGTATCTCCAGGAGTAGCCTTGTCAACCTGACTGTGACGCCATGGGTCAGAAAGTGATTGATGTCTGCTCCTTAAGGTCTGAGGTTGCTCAGAGAGCTAAAATGACAAAGCTATCTCAGCAAAACTTTTGTGGAATCATCAAAACGAATGCAAGTTTATATACTTTGTTTATGGATCTGTCTGTCCATCTGTCTGTTGGTCTTTAGTTCCCTTGTCTGTCATTACTTAATTGTCATTAACAAAGTTATCTTCTACAATGGAATGTAATATGTAGTTTCTTCTGGTTTCTTCAATGCTTCATTTTCCATTTTTTGAAATTATTAAAAAAATACATGGCTTCTTTGGATTCTTATCATTATATGCTATACAAGAAAAGGGAAATAAATAAACATAACCACCCCATTCCAAATTAGCATGTCCTTTTAAGCTGTACCAGACACAGTTTTTATTATTTAAAAAAGAGGAAGACGAAAAGAAAATGACGGAGTAAGAGCAAATAAATTTGCTTTTCAACCCCGTGAAGATGATTTTCAGCAGCGCTTCAGAACTGGAGGAAAAAGTGATTGATAAGGTAATTAAATGATAAAAAAGTATCAGGCAAGAATGCAGAAAGAGTACAAATGAGGAAAATGATCAAGTGTGCTTGATCTAAAAAATTACAGTATCAAATAATATAAATTATATTGCTTAGAGCAGAGAGGAAATCTGCTCTTTGCCTATGATCTTTTTAATGTCCTCTGGAAAAGACAATCCCTGCAGCTACTCTTTCTCATCTTTCTTACATCACTCCCATTAATATCATATGATTTAAAGGCTATTGCTTCATTGTACTGTTGGATCCATGCCTTTCATTCATGCACTAAGTGTTTTAAAAATATTAGCGGTGATGAACATGTCTTGTTTTTCATGGTCTCTGCAATTATAAGGAAACCAGCTATTATATCATAGGACAAGTTATAGAGTGTGTGCCTCAAAGAAAATTTAACAATTGGCACAGACTGTCAGCATTAGAGTGGTGTTTTATATTCGGGTGAATTCACAGCTTTGCTCTTAGATTGGGGAGTTTATGCTATTCAGCCTTCGTGGCTAAATCACTCTGCAGAATGTAAGTCTTTGCCATTCCCTCAGTACAATCAAGAAAGCTGCTTTCTAGAAGCAATGATTTAAACATTGCCTAACAGAATTCAAAGTACTGATATGATGGCTAAATAAGCAGCTAAGATTTATTAACTTCTCTTTTAGCAAAAGAATGCCTTGGAGCAGCTGCCTGCCTTACTCTTGCCCTCATGATTCTTCCTGCCCAGGCTCACTTTTATCACATAGTTCTGATTCTCTTAGGAATCTCTTACCGCTTGCCTCTTGGTACTATGATATTCCAGGCTCTTCTAGGTGAAGTCACTTCAAATGCTTACCCTGAGGAATTGATCAAACCAGCACTGCACAAGGCACCTTGGACCACAGAAAACATGCATTCAGACAGTGACTTTGGACACAAAGATACCAGCTTCTTAGATTCAGACATAGCAATATTTGATTTAAAATGCAAATTAGAGTAGAGGGATTTGACAACAACTTTGCAACAGTAAATAAATATATTTTGAAACATTTAGACTATAAATCTAAGCTTTCAACCTATTTTATGCTTAGGAAAAGATCTGCGACTATAATACCTTGTTATTTCAATATTAACTGAAGTCATTAAATAATGGGGAGTATTCCATATACCAGACTCATGAACGTGTTACACATTTACTAGCATTTAAAGCAAATCTGAGATCCCTTAGAGGTTGTCCTGAGAAGGCAGGGAACTGCCAATTATTATAAATATCCAGATAGGTAATGAATCCTCAGAGGCCTGAAACACTGTCCTGGGTTCCCACGTTCATTTAAATTCTGTAATTTTTAAATAAATACTGAGGAAAGACACCATTTTTTTTCCCATGAAAGGGTTCAAATTTACTGTGCACTAATTAACTCCCCAGCTTGAAGAACCTTCTCTTCCTTCACTTGACAGTAGTCTCACTCCTGAGCTGCAGTTTCTGGAACTCACACAACCTAAGACAACTGCAGAAAGACAGGAGATAAAGTCGACTGTTCACACTGAACTCTCTGCCAGTCTCCAGAGGGCCCTTAGCATCGCCCTTCAAGTGCTCAGAATCCAGGCACTCACCCCTTCCTTCATGTGACTTTCACGTTCTACTTTCTTCTCGAACCTTTAATTCCACCATTCTGTGCTCAGTCTGGGCGGTTGAAATTCTTTCATGTTTACCTCAGGGAAGCGGAAAGGGAGGAGAGTCAGTTAGGAGATAGACTCAGCACGTGTAAAGACCCATTCCTCCTGTGACAGGGGTGCATTTTAGATTCTAGGGTTAACTATTAGCACACAGGAAATGGATGGCAAAACTATGACCTCAAATGGAGGTCAAGTCTCTTTGCAGGTATAATTAAGGTGAAGGCATCTAATCCCTTGATTTGATTTTTTATAATAATATATTTGCCCCCCCACACACCTCTTCTTCCTTCTCCATTTTCTTTCTGCTTGGTTAATTAATAATTCCTCTATGACATTATTTTAATCTACATGTCTCTTTCTCGACCACAGTAATATACTAGCTTTTTAACCACTTCTGTGCTGTATAATTCAAGGTAAGGCACTATAAGTCTCCAGTATTGCTTCCGTGGTGCTTTAGCAACTTCAACTTTTCTGTGATTCCATCTGAATTTTCAGACTGTTTGCTTATAATTCTGTGAAAAAAAAAACATTATTGGAATTTTGACAGAGATTGCACTGAGTCTGTAATTGCTTTGGTGATGTGACCATTTTCGCAGTATTGATTCTGTTGATGCATGAACACAGACATTCTTTTCACTTCCACTGTCTTTTTCAATTTCTTTCTTGGATGTCTTTAACTTCTTAGTCTTTCCCATCCTTGGTTGGATTTATTTCTTGATATTTTCTATATTTATTTACTTTGAACCTGATACAAGTGGATTTATTTTCCTGATTTATTCCCTGACAAGTTAATTGTTGGTA